ACAGTCAGTAGACGACGGGAAAGGGAAGCAATTCGTAGCAAGCATGCGTGACAACTTACTTGGAGCCTTGGACCTTCTGGATATATCCAATGGTTTATACAAAGAGCGAATAGAATAGACGAGAAGCTTCTTGTACTGTATGTATATCATCAACCAGTATTGTAAGATTAGATTGTCGACTCGAGTATGTATATACTCGTAGAAGATCTGGTATGCTTTTTTCTATGAAGCATGTTTGATAACGATGATTGATTAATTGATTGATTGATTGATAATAAGTAAGCAAGTAAGCAAGTATTAAAGTTCAATCTAGAAATATCAAACTTGGATTTTTAAGAAGCCATATATCTAGCTAGGTATTGAGATGATATTTGAATTGAGCTTTGTTCTTATTGATGAATGAAAATTGATCATACGAGTATCATTCAAGAAGCTATTAGCAATTTATTTATTTATTTATTTATTTATCTGCGAAAACCAAGATATGTTTCATATTTACATATTTACAGATACAGATCTGTAGGTATCTCAATAAAGTAGATATTAACGCTCCTCATGTAAATTATATAGTTGCAATTTTCACTAACAACGTTGTTTGTTGTATACTCCATACATACTCTCCACAAATGAATGATGCACCCCGGGGAAATGCATATTTTAAGCATACTTATACCTCTTCTACCGGTATTATAGTATGCGATGCCAGTACATATGGTATCATTGCTGCACTGCACGGCCGGGGAAAAGATTTGCTGGTGCCTGTCTGTTCTGTTCTGTTCTGTTGTGCTCTGTGCTGTAAATGTATGTAATGTAGTGTGCATATAAATTTATATGAATGATGTGTGATAATTGTAAGTGTAACATTAATACATACCTAGGTAGATACTTATTTACAGGATAAATAATAGATAATAGATAATAGATAATAGATGATGACTCGTAGATACACCGAATTTGTATACAAGGAAATATGAGTACAAGTAATAAATATATTGTTTCCTATTCCTATTCCTATTCCTATTCCTAAGGAGATAGGAGATATAGATACCTAAATTATGATCCACCTTGTCTACTCTAGTACCGTACGTACTCTAGAATGAATTAAACTGAACTGAACTGAACCTCTACCGGTATTTGCAAAATCTGGTAACACCGTTACGACCGACCTACTTATTAGATGGGAACAGAAGGAGAGACATTCCCGTATATTAATCCAAGTCCAAGTCCAAGTCCAAGTCCAAGGTCCAAGTCCAAGGTTCAGGGTAAAAAGAAAGAAAAAAGTCTCGAGCTTCCTTCCTTCCTTCCTTTCGAGATTCGAGATTCGAGATTCGATATTCGATATTCATGACTGACTCGACTCCACTACTTCTTGACTTTAAGAGTATACGAGTACTTTGTAAAAAAAGACAAAAGAACAAAACTTGGTTCGATATATGGATTGCGATCCAAGGACCCGGGTTCTTGTAAGATGAACGATGGGAAATGGAATGGAGAGATACAGGTACCGGTACTGTACATAAGTCCTACTGTACATAGATCCTCGGATATCCTGATCTGATGCGATACATACCCCCACGAGTTTATGCGTGAAACGAACTTGTGAATTGTGAATTATGATCCCCGAAGCCTGTATATACCATACCGTACAGTATTTGGTGAATTCCATTATTGAGATTGAGAGAAATATTGAGAAAGAAAGATTGAGAAAGAAAGAATCCTCTAATTGTCTCGACCTTGACATGGAGCATGGAGCATGGAGTGGAAGTTTCCGTATCATCCGCTGAAAGCCTGTAAACAACTAAACACAGCCTAGAAGTTGGAAGGTGGGAGCGAACATTTTGATAACTTTGGTAGCGAGAGTACCCGTACCATACTTTGTTAAAAAAAAGGAAGGCTTAGAGCAGTTCGTTCTATTCTAAACTAAAACTATCCATCCAGCGCAGGACCATTGGAAAGAAATGAAAGATATAAGATATATAAAAAACTAAGACAGATTCGTCGTCTTAGACTAGAGAGGTAGGGTAGGGAGATATATAAATTATACTCGAGTAAATTGTAAATTGTTAAAAACAGAGTTGTTGTTGTTGTTGTTGCTTTACGAGTACTATGCCAAGCTTCGTAATGTTATAATTGTGATCAACATTATCAACCGGTTTTTACTCCCAATATGTCTTTGGTTGTGTGATGTGATGTGAATTTTTTTTTTTTTTTTAAAGTGTTACTGGTAAGGAAGGTAGGATGAGTATGGTTGATTCTTAGCCTGTGCATGTCGATTCGATGCTACATTGTACAAATCAAATGAAGTGGTGCTGTACAGGAAATTCAATTTTTGTAGCTGAGTTTGACATACTTGAGTCTTGGGTAGAGAATGGAATGAATATGTATAGTATTGACTGGTGGATTTCCAGAGTTTTGGTCGGAAAGAAAAGTCAACCATTAGAATTCTTTGAAATTGCCAATCGAACTCGAACCAATCGATCGGGTTTTAGGATTTTGGATTGATTTTGTACTCAAGAAGCCGTTGTAAACCCCTTGTCGTCGGATTGCCTCCGAAAGCCTGTAAAAGGTTGTGATTCTGAGGGTTGATCACTTGGGGTGATTGGCTTATGTTGGTAAGACGATAGAAGATGATATTGCTAGGTATGAGATTATTCCCATTCATCCTCATCCAATAGTGAAGGGCGGGAGAGAGTAACTTTTCGGGACTTTGTTCATTGAATGCCGAATCTTTCCCATGTATGATTTTCCATTCTTTTTGTCTGAAATATAATATTCGATGAAATTTCGTATAGTAATTTCCTTAGAGTTCTCGCCCATTAACCTATTAATGATTGATTTGATATGATATGATCTTCCGCGATCCCGATCCCCCCGATAACCAAAGACTAGAATAAAAATAAAGCTTCCCCTTAATCCTTAAAAAGGAGTGGATAGATAGATGTATTAATAAGAGAGTTTAGATGGTGATCAAAGCCATTCAAAGCGATGTATATCAAAGACCCAGGAGCAAATCATCGTGAATATGACATGCTTTCAAACGTTAATCTCATACCTATTCAAGTCAAGTATATCTACCGGTTCTAGATGTCCGGTAAGGCAAGGAAGGGTAAGGCTTTTATTTTTGTGAAAAGGTGAACAAGGACAGAAGGGGACCAGCTACGCACCGGTATAAATGTATGAGTAGAGTAGGAAAAACATGAGGAAAGCATAAATCAACTTTTATGAAAAGGTATATCATGTCTCCCTCCTAATCCTAATCATATCGATGTATAATTTGTTATCATAATATTCCACTTCTAATTCATGGTTCCTGAAAATAGTAGTTTAACCCCTCCCCTGGACTGGGAACGCCTCAGCAAGATATCCACCTCATTTCCTTAATTGAGACCCCCGCCACTATCTCATGCATATTTACTAAACCACATTCATCCATAGACAATTCTCGCCTGATCCATTGTGCAGTTTTATATCGAAATCCTTGCAAACATTTGATTTCACGAACCTTTTTCTAGCCAGTAGCCATCAGCCAGTCAAGGCTTATTCAAGACCAGTCAAGTCGGGGGGGCTACGAATGTTACCCTTTAGATTGACCCTTGGTCAACTTCATCTCTAGATATGAAGGCTCCGGAACTCATGTGTGCCCTCGACGAGTCGACGGGTGTTACGACCCATGGCATGAATATCCACATGGAATATCCATAGCTAAAGAGCAGAGTCCGTGTGTTCTTGAATCTCGTGGATCGATCTTCACTTCCTTCACTCTCATTTCTTGCTTTGTAAAGGCATTGCACATAGCAACATAGCACATAGCACACGATTATCGATATTCGAATCGACGGATTCAATACCACAGCGGTACGGCAGCATCGATAGGCTCTATTCCTCCGAACCTCGTGTATCTGTCTGGTTTCAGAGTGGGACAACTTCAATTGGACTGCAGGAAAAGGACATTGCCGCAAAGACAGCAGGAAACTTTCCACCATCGTCACACATTTTGCTTTTTTGACGTTGCGCAATCAGATATACGGTGAGTACTTCTTGTACCTTGGTACTATCCCACAACGACACCAACGAATCCGAGCTTTGGCAACACGATGTTTGAGAAAATGCTGTAATATCTTGGAAAACATGCGATTGCCATGAACCAATGCTAATTGATGCCTTTTCCCCAGCAAACGAAAGCCCACAATCTCTCAGAGTTTCGACGTCGCCCCTCATTTTTTTTCTGTTTCAAGCCCGAGAACCTGGCGTATCTCAAACATTTGAGGCTGAAGTATTCGACATGAACTACGAGTCGCGGTCATCAATTCTGTCATAAGGAGAGAAGCAAGGAAAATACCGAACGGACAATATCTGATGTGGAATAACCGCCTTGTCAATCTATTACGAAACGATCTTCGAAAGTATATTATGGCATTTTGATCAATGTCTTGAAAGGTATGCGCCGAGTATATGTCAATTTGATAAATGCGATCCAGTTCCTTTATATATACTAATGGATATAGTCAATTTAGTATTATTATTTGGAAACAATACTCTTCTCAACCTTTTCTATTTTGTTTTCCTTTTTTATATATATTTAACCCAATAAAGCTTGTTTTGGGTATATTCGGAGCAAGTCCTCACGAATCGTTCTATATAAAACGTGTTATAACTTCGAGACAAGGTATCCTGGACCTAGTCAAGCATCACATCTAATCGACCTTTTATCAAAGCACCTTTTTCCACTTCGAAAGCTACGCATCTTGAAATTTAATAGCACATCCCACAAGGATTTCAACTTTCCCCATACTCTGCACAGAAAGCTTTCAATATCCCATGAGCCTATCAAAGATTACCCGAGCTTTGATCAAGTCAAGTGAATCTTCAAAAACGAACCATCGGAACAAGACAAAATTTCCTTCATGCAGTAATTCACTGAATTTCAAAGGTGGTTTATGGGTTCTTGAGTTTGATTCTTTTCTTCCCTCCGAGGATAGACAAATTCATCACTAGTCACAATGAGAGACAACGCGTGGGAAACGGAAGATGAGTATGCAGCAGCAGCTCAATACCATCTTCCTCCTCCAAACGATACGCCTTACAGGACCCCATCCCCATCAATCCGCTCAAACCGCTCCAGACACTCATCAAGACGTTCGTCGCGACATAAATCAGTCTCTCCGGGACCGTCTTCTTCACCACCACCACTACCAATGGGAGAAAAGCGCAAGAGTGGTTCTCTTGATGTAACCAATGATGAATCGTAAGAAGCTAGATAAAAATTATGATGGTTTGAATACTGACAATATGAATAGTATTTCGATCCTCGATCCACGACGATTTACACCGACGTTACATGCCAATTTGGTTGCCGAAATTTTAACCTTGCGTAGAGACCAAGAAGAGAAACTCAGGACCATTGAAAGCTTGGAAGAAGCACTTCATGATACTCGTGGAGAACATGAATCTCTGGAAGACCGTCTTGCAGCCATTGCAAAAGAAAATCGTTCTTTGAAGCGTCAATTGTCTTTGCTGGAAGGCGGAACCTCGTCCGCTTTATCTGAATTGGCAAAGGAGCGAGATGAAGCAGTCGAAACTACTACAGAGATGCGTCGTCGGTTGGAGACTGTTCAGAAGAAACTCAAAAGTCGAAATGAAAATGCTGATCGCGTACAAAATCTTTGGGAAAATGACAAGGACAATTGGGACGAAGAGAGGAGAAAACTGGAAGTAAAGATTCAGGTTTCCGAAAACAGATTGAAGACAGTCTTGGATGAAGTTACCGCTTATGAAGCCAGTCGTTCAAAGAATCAACCACAAAGACATGACACGGAAGATAAAGACAATGACAATGAGAGCGATGGTGTTAGCGTACGGACAATGAGTCTAACCAACAGTATACGTTTCTCGATGCTCAACGGACCGAATGGATATGGAGTCACCAAAGGGAATGGCCTCAGTTTGGCTGATGAATTAGATCTCGACGACGATGATTCCGATTATGGAGGTGGGCGTGACAGTGTTGCGTCATCCCCGGAGAAGCATCAACGCAATCAAAGTCGTGAAAGTATCCTATTTCGCACCCACCGTAGGAACCAGAGTGGCGACAGTATGAAGCGACCTGGAAGTGTTACCCTAGGTAGATCATTCCTCAACCAAACCGTCTTGGAAAGATTGGAAGGAGGTATTTCAGAGGAGGACGAGATTGCACCTGAACCTAAGTTCAAATACGTCGACACTGGAATTCAGTACTCCCCTCCACCATCTCCAAAATTGTCAGCAGTAATCGAGATAATTTCCGTTGTCGAACCGGCAGCGTTAGTCGAGATGGACACCCCCAAAAGCCTTGAGGAACAACCTTCATTCGAAACATCGGTTAAAGAATGGGAGGTTGAGGCGAATCAACGAAGAAAGCGTGTATATTCGAATCCTCCTTTGGTCATCGAGCCTCAAAAGATCTCTCCTATGGTATCTGCAGCGTCACAGACACTTGATGATCCTCCCAGCCCCCCACGAACACCAGTTTCCCCAACTACAGCTCCACCACCACTGCCTTCTCAATTCACGCCCATTGAAGAGAAATCCAAGATGACCTCAAGTTCTACACAGACAGACACTCAAACCGAAACTCCCAATACATCACCAAAATCCCCAAAGCGTGTCCCACCTCCCATACCTATTCCATCTATTCAATTGCACCCACCTTCCTCGGGCCCGGCAACTCCCCGTGAGTCTTTGTTGCCACAACTCTCAAAAGATGTAGGCTGCCAAGTTTCAATCTCAAGGCCTATTCCAACAAGATCGATGGCTGTACAAACGGAAGAGATCAGAGTAGCTCAACGCCTAAATACTCTTCCGCTTCATCTTCACCCCTCGGCGATATCTTCTAGCCCTCCGTCACCAGAGCTAAAGGCCAATGATCTCCAATTCTCACCCATTCCAGACAATCTTCCTCCTAAGAACCCGCGTCGCCAAAGCAGCCAACGAAGCATAACAACGCTCCCATCATCGCCACCTACAATGAAGACAAGAGATGCCTATCCAGGTAATAACGATGATGGGCCCCTGGCGAACGATAAAGGACAGATTAGAAGACCTCTTCGCATCAGCAGTCTCTTTGCAGGCTTTGACGGTGTAAGTTCTGACGAAGGTGATGAATTCGGTGAGGGTGATATCAGCGACAACGATTTCAGAACGCCACTTTCTGCTCCAAAACCAACGCAGAAGGATAGCAAACGAATGTTTCAAGTGTCAAGATCAGTTCCTCAAAAGATCGAAACCCCTAATATCTCCGCCACTCAGATACTCCCCAAAGCAGAAAATGAAGCAGATGATCAATTTGATGAAGAAGCATTGGAGCTGCCCACTAGGACAACCACCAAATCTGCTCGAGTTCTTGGTCAATCTTTACCGATTATTTCAATGGCCAAACCAGCTCAAATGCATCGTGCAGCTCTCATACAAAGTGGCGTAAATGCTCATCGAAGCCGACCCGGCAGTTCTGGATTGTCCGAAGAAATTGCACCTCCGTTCCCCATACCTACCAGAGCAAGCTCTCGAAGATCTGGAGCCTCTTCCAGTGCCCCTAGCGATGATAATCGAAGTCCCACCCACGGAGGAGGATCAAGACCTTATCGGGCAGGAAGTGTTGTTAGTCGAACTGGAAGTGTTAGGAAAGTTCGATCTGCAGCTGCTATTGCTAAAAGTAAGCGTGTTGCACGACGTTCTCAAAGCAGATCACCGCCACCGATGTCACCAATAACTCTAGAGTCCGAAAGCCCTCGCCTGCCACCACTTCCGAGTAACGATATCACTGCACCGCGATTCTCAAGAGATAATGGTAGTAGCCGTTACAGAATGCACAGAGGTCAATTATCGGCAACCAATACTGCTTTTACTTCAAACACTGCGGGATCGTCGGCCATTACTGATAGCCAAAGCCCAAACCAAGCCACAACCGTGGTAGATGCCATTGCACAGACGATGGTTGGAGAGTGGATGTTTAAATACGTTAGAAGACGCAAGTCTTTCGGAGTCTCGGATCAAGATGGAGACCAAACTACCAATGGTGCTCGTCACAAACGTTGGGTTTGGCTCGCACCTTATGAACGTGCAGTCATGTGGAGCAGTAAACAACCCACTTCTGGATCTGCACTGATGGGCAAAACTGGCAGAAAGTGTAAGTCATCAAACATATTTTCCCTAATTTTTACTGATTTTAGTAGTGACCATTCAATCCGTATTGGACGTAAAAGATGATAATGCACCACCGAAGGGATCTGGAGGAGTTTTCAATCGTTCGATTCTCATCCTCACTCCAGCGCGCGCTCTCAAGTTCACTGCTATTTCACGAGAACGACATTATCTCTGGCTTACTGCTCTCTCCTTCCTCGCACATTCATCGCAGGCTGTACCTGATGTTATCACACCTCGTGCTGCACCAACCCTATCTACCAAACCTCCTCCAATACCCGACTCCCAAAAGCCCAATCGCACACAAAAGACGCATAAAATACGAGACTCGATAAAGGTTGCAAAGGGAAAGAATGCTTTCAATCGTACCGGCCCCGCATCAGCTTATTCATCTTCTCAACAAACAGATACAACCATGAGCATGCGCGACAATGAATCATCTCACACGAATTCACCCTCGGTACGCTCTGATCCCGCGGAGGCACCTTTCGTACCCCGATTCTCCGAAAGAGGTATGGGAGGTCATGTCAGGAAGCGCAGTAATACCGGCTCACATGTTCCACCTCCTCTGTCCTTCCGAGGTTTTAGCGCTGGTCATGTACCTACCAGTAGTACTGCCGGTATGAGTGATAGAACAGCAGGCTCTTCCGAGAACCACAGCTCTTATAATTCTCAACCTTCCTCGGTAGCAGGATACAACGGACCTAGCAGTCGATCATCTATTCGTACATCCGATGCTAGTGCACGTCCAGGAGCTGTTGTTAATAACTTTTTCGATGCAGTAGGAACGATGCGAATGGAAGCTTTTATTTCTCCCCTTGGTGTTACGAAGTTAGATGATTGCCCCGATGAACAAGATGAAATGGATATGATCAGTTTGCAGCGTCGACGCAGCAGAGATGGAAGAAGAAGCAGCAGAAACAAGGAATCTTTCGGTGTCAGTCGAGGTGGTTTTGGGGGTTTCGGCGGGAGAGCAATTGAGGATTGGTATAGTGGAAGTAGAACTGCTGGAGAGGAAGAATTTGGCCAGCGTGATTTTGAAGAAAGATCAGAGAAATTTGGAAGAGATTCTAGGGAAGATCCTTTCAGCAACTTTTGATCTCACCACATACGAACATATAAAACACGACTATTAGGTTGGATTTTTCGATTACGCCTACACATTCATTAAATTTTCTTGAGTCTGGAATGGGGTGGAATTGGATTGGGTTGGCTTGGGTTGGTCTGGTAGATATTGGATGGGTGGGCAGGGAGGATCTTTACAAAGCTTGGCATGGGGGAAAAGCCATCTGGGATCTTAGGGAAAGAATGGAGGATGGAAGGAAGGAAATGGCCATTTCTGGGGCCGGGGAACTTCTTATACCAAGAAGTGGAGAAATATGAGGCTCGCGCCGACACAACCGACATCATCTCGGTTGATATCGGTTGATACCTACTAGTAATGTTTTTGTATATTTTGTTTTGCAAGCCAGCCTGCAAGCTCTCTTTTTCTTTGGATCGTCTACTTTCTTGTATCTAGCTGTTTCTTGTTTTCTTTTCTTTTCTTTTCTTTTCTTTTCCCTTAAGAGGGCTTTCTTTGATAGGCACTACTTTCTTGCTTACTGGATATCCTTTGCGCTCGTGTTTGGAGTGGGAGGATGATCGGATACCCATTTCTTGACTTTCTTTTTCGAGTTACTGCGTTTTGAGGGATGGTTACAAATAGTACTTTCTTTTTCATTTTAAAAGAAAAGATGGGGGTGAGGAGGGGAGGTCTTCTGGAGTTAAGATGGGAGAGGAGAGGGTGAGGGTGAGGGTAAAATATGGTGCTGAGGAGTATGAGAGAGAGAGAAAGATTGATGGATGGATAGATGGATGGATATGAAATAGATAGTATTGTGAGAGTCGTGATAAGAATAAAGTAAATACATATTCTGTAAAATTACACTCATGACAGTGATGTCATTTCGCCATTTGGAACATATATAGTGATTTTCTGACTTTGTGGTTCGCTTCTCCTGATTTTCAAGTCCAATTTTCTCTTTTGAGGTAGTAAATAGGAGACTTGCCTCCGTTGTCGGGTGGGGATGATATTTGCTGACTAATCATCCGGTAAGCTTTCGGCTTCTGCTTTCCGCCAGGCCAAGCACTGTTTGGACCGAGCGTTTTTCTGGGGGAGAGGGGAACTAGGGGGGTTGCGGAGATCATTTGGCTAACAACATGAACTACTCGAGTAAGTATGAGACCGTCGTTCACTAAGCTACTTAAAAGGTATGCAATTGGTCCGATGTTATTCGTCATGATATCGAAATGAGAAGGTAGTTGGGAACTATATGGTATATGTACGTACCAGTAAGGGTATGTATGAGCTTGGTTGGTCTTGTTTCTTTATCTCTCAACAAAGTCGGCGTCCGATTCCCTTTACAGCTTTCAATTGATTCGGCAGTTATTGAATCTGAATTTCCCGAGGTAATTGAGGTGATTAGGGTAATTGATTGGTATATATCTTTATAAAGGTTGAGAGCCATATCATATGCTACCTAAGTCCGTAAGACGGAGCCTGTGTAGCTTGAAATCAGGAACACGACAATTACATATTCAATCATCAGTTAAGCTTCACTTGATCATCAATCCTCTGTGACAGACATCAACACAACTTCTAATCACCATATTTTGCAGACTATCAAAATGCCACTTCATCCCCAAGACGAAGTTCAATCTCAATCTCTCTCCGATCCGCAATCCTTTTGGGCAAAACAAGCCTCTCGTCTTCATTGGCATAAACCACCTACTCAGATTCTGACTGAGAAGACTAAATTTCTTAAATCGGGTACTGAACATAAACATTGGGAATGGTTTGAGGATGGAGAGATAAGTACTTGTTATAATTGTGTGGATAGACATGTATTGGCGGGAAATGGAGATGAAACGGCAATTATTTGGGATAGTCCTGTTACGAGATGTAAGGAGAAGATTAGCTATAACCAGTTATTGAGAGAGGTGGAGGTTTTTGCGGGGGTGTTGAGAGAGGAGGGGGTGGGGAAAGGGGATGTTGTTTTGGTTTATAGTGAGTTCGGGTGGATATATCTACCAAGATGATACATATAATGAAGGATGATAACTAATAAGTCACAGTGCCCATGATCCCCGCAGCTCTTATAGGTACCCTCGCAATATCTCGTCTCGGTGCCATCCACACCGTTGTATTTGGAGGATTTGCTCCAGCAAGTCTAGCTCAACGAATTGATGCATCCAAACCAGTAGCTGTCCTTACAGCCTCATGTGGAATCGACGGAGCGAAACCTCCTATATCCTATCAACCCTTCATCACCGAAGCCATCGCTCTCTCATCACATAAACCTGACAAAACTATTATATGGCAACGCGAACAATTGCGATGGGAAAACCCCAATAAGGAAAACGGAGAGAGAAATTGGCAAAGATTGGTCAAAAGTGCTAGTTCTCGTGGTGTAAAAGCAGATTGTGTACCGGTGAAAAGTACAGATGGACTTTACATAATCTACACATCTGGAACCACCGGTTTACCCAAAGGAGTATTACGAGAAGCGGGCGGTCATGCCGTCGGGTTGAATCTATCCATCAGTTATGTATTCGGCATCCATGGACCTGGAGATGTCATGTTTTGCGCATCGGATATTGGATGGGTAGTTGGTCACTCGTATATTATATACGCACCACTCTTGGCCGGAGCAACGACGGTTCTCTTTGAGGGAAAACCGGTGGGAACACCCAATGCGGGAACTTTTTGGAGAATTCTTGAGGAATATAAAGTCAATACTCTCTTTACAGCCCCAACAGCACTTCGGGCCATCCGTCGCGACGATCCGGAAAATAAACTATTTGGGGAAATTGGGGAGAGAGGTGGATTGAAAAATCTCCGTGCTATATTTCTGGCTGGTGAAAGGAGTGAACCGAGTATCGTCACCATGTATCAAGAACTTCTCGCAAAACACGCTGCACAAGGTTCTAACGTAATTGACAACTGGTGGTCATCCGAATCAGGGAGTCCCATGACCGGAATTGCACTTTCGCCTCAAAGCGGAATATCTCATACTTCCAGCCATCAAACTAGCGCCATCCTCCCCGTCAAACCAGGTAGCGCAGGGAAAGCTCTCCCGGGCTTTGATGTTCGTGTTGTGGATGATTCTGGTAATGAAGTACCACGTGGCACGATGGGAAATATCGTGTTGGGGATTCCGTTGGCTCCGACGGGGTTTAGAAGGTTGTGGAGGGATGATGAGAGGTTTTTTAGGGGGTATTTGATGAGGTTTGGGGGGAGGTGGATTGATACGGGGGATGCGGGGATGGTGGATGAGGGGGGTTGGGTTAGTGTTATGAGTCGGAGTGATGATATTATTAATGTGGCGGCTCATCGATTTAGTACTGGTTTGTTGTTCTTTTGTTTTGTTTTCTTTTGTTTTTTTCATTTCCTCAAGATTTCCAAGTCCAAGTCTAAGAAACTCGAGCGAAACTAAACTAATTCAATCTCAGGCACAATCGAACAAGCAATCTCAACCCATCCCCTCATAACAGAATGTTGCGTAGTAGGCATCCCGGATGCCCTGAAAGGCCATATGCCCTTTGCGTTCATAACGCTTTCTACGCCAATTCATCCTACGTCGGCTATTCCAGATAAGGGGTTGGAGAGGGAAATTCAGGGGTTGGTTAGGAAACAGATTGGGGCGATTGCTGGTTTGGGGGGGGGTTATTCAGGGGAGGAATATTATTCCTAGGACTAGGAGTGGTGGGTTTGGGAGTGGTTTTTCTTTGGGTTTTGGGGGGAGGGGAGAGGGGTGAACATGGCTAATGACTTGAATTTTCTACTCTAGGCAAAACTTTAAGAAGAGTATTGAGGGAATTGTTGGAATGTGAATATAATGTGGATGGGGATGGGAATGGGGATGCGGATGGGGATAAAGGAAAAGAGATTAATATACCGGCAACGATAGAAGATGAGAGTGTAGTTGGGGTGGCGAGGGAGAAGATTAGAGAGTATTTTGTGGTTAAGAGGGGAGGAAACATGAAGGAGAAGGAGGTTGTGAGGGCGAAATTATAGTGGATGGATAGATATCTGTTTGTTGGTTGGTTGGTTTATGGAGTGGGGTGGGATATCTGAGGAGAGTGGGAGGTTTATGGAGTGGGATATGTGAGGAGAGTATTATGGAATTGTTATTGATATTGTAAGATTATACGAGTATAGGATTTTTGGTTTTGTTGATTTCGCTATGTATAGTAAGATTATAAAATAAAGTAACTCTTTACTGAGTATATCAAATAAAGTAGCTTGTAAAACATATATATATCGTATACACTCGAGTACGAGTATGAGTATACATGAACAAACTAGCAAGTTGTATATCAAATCACCAATAATTACTTATAATCACTTATATTCATTAATTATTACTTATCAACTATCAACTATCAACTATCACTTATCAAAAGATCCTTTCCTTGTAGAGTATTAATACTCGTTCATTTCATAGTCGGCTCTCTACAATAATACAAATAGTTATATAATCTAATTCCCAATCAGGGAATCAGGGAATACAATTGTTCTACTGTATTGTTTTCTCATGAATAAGCGATTATTCCCTTTAAGTTTCCTTTTCTCTTTTGCTTTTCCTTTCCCTTTCAAAATAATATAACTCGAATACTTGTACTCGAATACTCGGGAATATATGAAAATATAAAAAGATGAAAAGGAAAACCTAGGTAGATAAGATTACTTTTGGAATTTTTTCCCTTTTCTTTTCTTTTCTATTATAGGATATAGAGTATAAGTATGAGTAAGTATATAGGTAGAAGGTAGAAGGGATATAGGTAGAAGGGATACAGGTAGAAGGTAGAAGGTAGAAGGGCGAAGGGGGGAGGGGGAGGGGTAATGGGGCGAGAGAGAGAGATAGAGACAGAGAGAAAAAGAGAGAGAGAGAGAGGAGAAAGAAGAGCTGTTTATTATTAGAACTTTGGATTGTATTTTGGATTTATTTATTTATTTATTCCTAGATCCGAGTCAGATATACTCGAGTATACTAATACAATCTAATCCATATAACACTATAACAAACCACTCTATAACTAATCAACTAATCCAATAAACTAACTAACTAACTTAATACCTAGTCATCCCCTATTCATCCCCCACATTCATCTCCTATATTCATCTCCCTATCTCCCCATCTATCTAAATATCTAAATACACTACTACACTACTATACTAATATACTACTAGTACTTGAGCCATTAATTCATTTTTTTATGTATTTACTCATAGCACAGTATAGTATAGTATGTATGGTATAGACAGATAATAGATATATATTTCTCACTCACTCCCCCACTCCCTTCCCTATCACTCCTTCCCTCTCACTCCTTCCCTTTCACTCCTTCCCTCTCACTCTCTTCCCTCTCACTCCTTCCCTCACTCCTTCCTTCCATCCACTTAAAAAGCCTGCAATATTCATGTATGCAATATTTCATTTTCAACTACTTAAGTACATCTCTATTCCATCCATTTATTCACCAATCCACCCCGATAACCCCTTTCTTCTCAGTCTCACTCTCCCCCTCAATCCCCCTCGCTCTTACTCTCTCCTAACTCATAAAAAATATAACAAAGTATATATAATATATATACGTATTATATTAATCCTTAATCCTTTAATATTCTCATTTCCCCTTCTCCTTCTCTCCTCAACCAATCTCCCCTTCTCTCCCTCTCCTCATATCCCTCTCCCTCACTCTTACTCTCACTCTTACTCTCACTCTTACTCTCACTCTCACTCTCACTCTCCCCCTCCCCCTCCCCCTCCCCCTCCCCCAACTCCCTCAATCACCCTCCTCCCCTCTCTCTCCTCCTCTCCTCCTCTCCTCCTCTCCCCTCAAAAGAAATCAAAATCAAAATCAAAATCAAAGCTCAAATCAACCCAACCCAACTCAATCCTTTACCCCAATCTTTTCCCCAACCCTTTCCTTCCCCCAAACACAGCATATCAAATCAAATCAAATCAACCCAAATCCCATCATAATTCTACTCTCCTTCTCTTTCTCCTCCTCATTCTTCTTCTCATTCTTCTTCTCCTTTTCCTTCTCTTTCTTCTTCTCCTCTTCACTTCTCTTCATCTGTTTCAAACTTCAAACCCCTTCACTCCCCTCATTACAACCAATCCCTTTCACTTTCTTTAAACCAAATCCAAATCTAATCAAAAACTATCAAAAAACTATCAAAAACTACCTCCCTCTCCCCTCCCCCTCCCAAGGCAAAAGATCTCCCATCTTATATCGATATCCATCCAGCTCCCCCCC